AACTATGATAAGAGGACGTTGTTCCGGTCTCTGAGGTCCCCGTTTCAAATCCCGCCAACCACCGACTGATGTTAGTTACTATATATATGGTTTGCCAAGACCCTCTGTCCTGAAGTAATGTGTACAACTATTCCAAGCAAGAGCTTAGCCTCCTAGGGTTAGAAGGTAAAAAAGGGTGACTTTAATTTTTAGCATAACCTTATTGACAAAATCTTCATCCAAACTACATTAGCTTTTTAGTTTCTCAAAATACTTACCAATTTCCGTAAAGCATGAGTTGAGGGTTTTTTTCTGCTCAATAATGACAATCTCTTCATAATCCCTCCTTGGCATGGCAGAACACGAAGTGCGCACACTGTCACGTCCCGTGAATACAAAACTGTCGTTTTACTGAGTAAATAAAAAAAATAATATTCTTTTTCTTGGTAGATTTTCTTCAGGTCTTTGCAGTACTTGTAGAATACATTAGTTGTAATTGTTTAGTTTTACAGAAATAACAAACACGTTCGCTTGGCAAAATTGTGTAAAATCCTAATGTATTACCACTCAGAACATGGATCGAGAATAGATTTTGATATTATGTCATTTTTTAATGTTGTGTATATAAAATTTATTTACAAGTAATCAGATTGTTTCCACAGATTTATCTCGGAAATTGAACAGTTTTATCAATCAGTATCCTTATATGGTGTATGCATGTCAAAAACAACCTTTTAACTAATTTTGCAATACTTCTACATTATTATCTATTGTTATTCATCTTATAAAATACATCAATGTCTTTTTTTACTAAGAATCCATTAAGGGAATGTTATAATTCAATGTTTCACTAAGGTAAAAAAGTCTGTTTATTAAACGTTCAAACATATAGAGTAATCACTGAACTATTAACAGTTATGAAAATATTGAGGATATCGTCTATACAATCAATTTAAATTTTAACATTGATTGATCTTTCGGAGATGTTTTATTTGTATATAAATATACCAAGTATGTATTAATAACACAGTTGACTGCCTTCATATGGAATCAAATGGTGCGCCCCAATACGTAAATAATAGATACTAAGGTAAATTAAATTTCAAAATTATGCATAAAAGGTCATTGTCCTTATTTATTTATTATTTTTTTGCTTAAAATTTCAAAATCTTTTAGAAACCTTTTTGGATTTGTACAAATTTGTACAACATTTAACATATTTATTTATAACAACCTCTAACTAGGATAAAAACCCATCAACTCAATAACTAATAAGAAATTTTAGAAATTAAGATGAATCTTTTTAGACGCT